CGTTATTTGTTTTGTTTTTCGAAATGCCAGGTGAGCAGAATGCAAAGTTAAACCTAGTTTTGTCCCTGAGTGTGGAAAAGTAAAAATCTTTCATAATGTACTTTTGACCGACCTTTAAACATGACGATAACAACCCTTATGAGCCATGAATGAGAAATAAGAAGAAATAGATAGTATATTATTATTTATTTATTATTATAAGTATTTATTTATTCATTTTACTTCACTAAAAATTCACATTTCACAGGTATTTATTTATTTCTTGTTTACTTTACTAAAAATTCACATTTCACAGGTATTTATTTATCCTTTGTTTACTTTACTAAAAATCCACATTGTTTCCTGCCAATGTTCCCAAGCCGGCCAAGGTGGGCAAACGGAGAAACAATGTTTCCGCAACTATTATCTTAGTCTGAACTTGGTAGGAAACATTCTTGTTTCCCAAGAAGCAAAATTTGTTTCTGCAACAATGTTTCCACAGGTGGGCAAATGGGAAAACATTTGAGGAAACATTGAGAATCACTAATGTTTCTGCAACAATATTTCTTAGTTTGGGCTTAATTATACACACAAAAAACAAACATAAACCTGATATTTGTGATGTTACTCTGAGTGTATATCCACACCGGGCGAGCTTGAAAAATATGCCCGGCCATGGTGGGATTCGAACCTACGACCTTTGGAATACTAGCCAAAAAAAATATATCATATTACTAGAATACATTGGTATCGAAGGAACTAGATTCAGTTCCTAAATATCACTTACTCGAACCGTCCTGACCGCGTAGCTCAGTTGGAAGAGCATTGGGCTAGTATTCCAAAGGTCGTAGGTTCAAATCCCTCTGTGGCCGGGCATATTTTTCAAGCTGGCCCGGTGTGGATATACCCTCAGAGTAACATCACAAATATCATATTCACCTGAGTACACAACACCAACACAGGAAAAAAAAACAAAAAAAAAACATAAACCTGTGATATTAGATACTTCAAAGAAAATATAACAAAAACAAGCCTATTTTACACATTTTGACTTTTGACATGTGTACATCACCTACAACAAAAAAAACAAACACAAGAATAAATAAGACAAGCAGACAGACAGAAGGGTGATAATTAAGCTGAATTTACATAAAAATTATTATTATTGTTATGGATTTCCTTTGAAAAATAATGCTTTACAAATATGTTGGGAGAATTATGTTCAAAAAAGTTAATAAAAAGCCATGGCAAGTCAACCAGGACAGTCATATAGGCAGCAAGCATTTCCAATCAACTGATTACATCTTGCCTCCTTCATCCAACAACACATGTCGACTCAAAAAATATGCTTTTCCATCTTTTTCATGCTTTATTGATGAGGCATTCTCATCCCTTTCTCAGAAGGTTGAGGTAAGCATTATCAGCCGAGCTGAGCTCAATCAAATACTGACAAAGATTACTGTTTGGTAATAGACGCAATGTCTATCCGAAAACAAACCATTTGGAATCCAGAAAAAGACTCCTACGGATTTGTAGACTTTGGAAATGAGATTCCTAATGGACATTTAGAAAAATTGGCCACAGAAGCTTTGGTTTTTCTTCTGGTAGGTACCAGAAGTCATTGTACTGTAAATGTTCAGTGGGATACCTCTTGGCTGATAAAATGAATGCAAAGGACCAAGCCACACTGGTAAAAAGTGTCTTGAAAAAGTTGCAAATGCTAATCTAAAAATGTGGTCAGTAACAGCTGATGGCACAAATGTTAACATTAGTACATTCAAAACACTGGGTTGCAAATTTTCTGGTAACTTTTAAGAATCCAACAACCAAAGATGTTTTTGTGATACTCGACCCTGTCCATGGGATCCTTTATAATGGGCCATTCCATTTAATATAGGCACCCCCCTATTGAGGGGTCTGGATATCCTATGGAGGAGGGGGTTTTTACCTAAAAATTTTCCAAAAAATAGCAAAAATTAGGTGTTTTAGTGATATCCAAGGGGGCAAAAACGATATCCTAAAGGGGGTATCAAGATATCCATGGGGTAACTTCCAAAAATCACATCCAAGGGGGTTCTAAAATGTTTATATATATATAAGGGGATTTGGAAGGGACCCCTCAATAGGGGGGTGCCTGGCTATATTTAATAAATGGAATGGCCCATTGATGGAGATGGCAACATCATAAGATAGAAACATATCGAAGAGCTTCAGAATATTCAAGAACAAGAAGGATTGAACCTGGCAAACAAACTGTCCTCAAATCACATACAATTTCAGTTACTCTGTTGCAGATGCGATTGAGCTTCATGCATATTTAATAAATTTAGTAAAGGCACTTACGTGTTTACAACTTTACAATGCCACTCTGAATCTCTGAATCCATGTCGTTTGTGTACACATTCAATTTGAACGAAAAAATGTTTCATTTCCCCGATTTACCGATCGAATACACGTATGAAAAGTTATGATTCATGCTGTATTGAATGACAATTTAACCGATTAGCTCCATAACAAGAGAAGTGCCTTCCTTTTCAAAACCTTTTCAATCACATGTTGCTATAAATGCATGTTGGTTGGCTGTCGCTGTTCTTCGGCGCCACGCAGGAAACGCGACAACGCGCGTGAATTTTACCTCCAGACACGCGTGTCTGGAGGTAAAATTTGGCTTCAGGCAAGTCTGGGCATGTTCAGTTAAGGTAGCGTTCCATATATTTTAGTTCAATGGTCTACTCAGTTTATTATTATGACATAATAATATACTGAGTGGACTCGATGCATGCCCGAGCGCCACGCGCGAGGGTAAAAATTTCAACACGCACTTTTGGGCAGCCTATGTCGAAACTCGAAAATTATTATCAAAATTTTTGCAAAAACCAGGGGGGTGAAGGATTTTACTTCAAGCGTAGGATTGCGGTTGGTCAGTGGTAATTGCCATGAGCCGGAGGAACCAATCATCTATGGAACCAATTGGCGTCAGCAAACATGAAAATCCGCGATGTTTTTCCGGACACTCGTTTGACTGAAGGATAGATAGGAGCACGTCCTCCAGTAATATTATAGCTCAGTGACAGGAAGTTAATATAACCGGAAGTGTGACAGATACCAATGGTTACGTGTGTGGGGGTGTACTTCCCCATTTTCTGCATTCTGAGCATCCAAATTTGCTCTAAAATTTATGCTAACTATACCTGTATTTCAAATAAAAGAAGGAAAAAATGCACAAAAAGTAAAAAGAATATTAACCGTAATTTATCACTATACTTTTTAGAGGAGGATACCAATGGCCGAAGGCCACGTGTGTGGAGCATAATCTCCACAAAATTTTTCAAATTTGAAACCTGGAAATGCTCTTTCCTGCATTCTGAGCAACCAAAAAATAAAAAAATATTAACAATAATTTATCATTACTTAGTGATAGAAAACCATAACAATTTAAATCGATTTTGTTAAACAAGGACAAAGGATAAAGCCTAAAACTTTCTTTCCGTTTATTTATTTGTTATTCTTCGCTGTTTTGTTGGTATAAATTTAGAAAAAAGGGGGGGGGGCAAAATGTGATTTTATTAAACAGGGAGGAGACTTTAAAGAGAGGACTGGGGGGGGGCATGGGGGAGGTTAGCTGGTTCAAGCCTCAGTGAGGACTTCTCGATGTGACTCGAACCCAGTCCTCATGTGAAAAGAGTAAAAAGTCAACGCTCTGCCGAAAGTCATGGGTTTTCTCCGGGTACTCCGTGTTTCCGCCCACAGGGAAAGTTGACAGGGTGGGTTAGGCACATAGGTCTGGAGGCAGATCATTAATGAGGTATGGACTAATAGCGCGGCAGCTGCTCAAGCGCCATTTGTAAGCTCAAAATCTACCTCGGTCTGCTTCACGTCAGTCCGGTTCTATCTATCTATTCTTAATGTAACCAGTCACTGAAAAGCCTGATAGGGAGTGTGCTGTGAAATATCTGTTCATGTCTGTATCCAATGTGTGAAGGTGTTGATGTTATGAGGTATGGTAGTCAAATGGCGTGTTTTGATCTAACGTCTTTGAGCGGGAGAGGGACCGGTAATGGCGTATGTCAATGAGAGGGACCGGTAATGGCGGTATGTCAATGTTTTTATATGGTTCATGCTTCATTAGTATGATTGATTATTTAGGACATCATGTAAAATCCTACGATAGTCGAATAGACTATTGGAACTATAAATAGGTTTATAAGAGGGTCCTGAATGGGTAAAATTGGAACTGGGATTTGCTTATTTTTGGGTGGAAAAATGGGATTTCATGCACTGGAACTGGGATTCATCCGCAAAAAAACAATAGAAAATGGGAATGGTATTAAGATTTGAGCAAGACAGCCACAGAGATGATGGGATTTGTGCTCTGGGACAATGGGATTTAGTCAAAATTTGGGCTGGGAAATGGGAATACGACCTCCCCTTTCAGGACCCTCTTATAAATGTGCGTGTGATTTCGACCTAGAATAATTAGTATAATTTCTAAACATTTCAAATCTGGGAGAGATCAATGTCAGATGTTACCATAGTGCTTCCAGATGAAGGAAATTTGAAATTTTCCAGCTAGAAATAGTGCGGATATTCGATTTTGAGAAGTAAGTTGGCGTAGTGTATTCATTTGTTTTGAGCACGTTGTTACGTAACATACAAATGATTCTCCTCTTAATTATAAAAACATGGTCAATGTTTATCATGGGTTATAAGTAATCATTATAATAACGATACCGGATTGTGTCCGTGATCTCGTGACGTTTAGCCGCCCACTTTCGTTTCATATTGACATACGGTGTTTTCCCTCACTCCCACGCTTGCAAATCACGGGGACCTTTCACGCACGCTGATTGGCTAATTCCATCACGAGACTCGCAATGTTATGACAGCTTGCCATATATGGGTACATTTAAATATCCAGCCAATCACAATGCAGTTAACTGGGTAGGTCCTTCTAGGAAAACCCATTTAATACAAATGAATTGCTGCACCCATGATGATGAAATGAACCTCTTTGGGTCAGAATTTTTGTAGAATTATACTGACTTAGACAGAAGTTTGTATAAATATCAAGTTGGTAGTTTCATTCGGAAGTGATTTGGTGTTTATATCAAACTATACTGGTAGCGAGACTCATTTTGTAAATCGATAGCATTTTGTCCGCTTCAATGAATATGTCTGGACAAGTCAACTTAATGCCGTCATATTTTTCCTTCGTTAACCAACCAAATTACCAGGTAAGCTAAGCTGAAATATCGAATACTGCTACTTTAACTTTGTCTTCTTTGCATATTTATTCGCGTTTATAAATGTTCGGTTTTGTGATGACTTATCTTGGAGTGCAGGATTACCAGCATGCCTATTAATTATTTTGTATTATGACGTTTGGGAAATGCCCTTTTGTTGTTAAATGTACAGAGGCATCAGGCAAGAAATCGATTAGTTTAGCCCAAATTTATCCAAGCTTGACTTGTGCACGAGCTCGTTGAGAATTACGTATCTTTGCTGTTGTAATTCAGAATTGGGTTTCGAAACTTTAGGTTTTAAATGTCAACAAATATTTCTATACATTTCGAACAACAGGGGGCGAAGATTGAAGATTAAATTATTGCTGGGGTCCGATAATTGCCACAATGCTTTCAGGATGCCTTGAAAATACGAAGTATTTCACAATACGAAACCTCCTTGATCTGGTAAATAATCACATTAGATTCATCTTACAACATAGCGTATTTAGGAGAAGTTGAATTAAATCCTCAATGCAGTTGCATGCAAGAATTATACCGCCAGGGGGTAGAGTACTTGTTTGTAGTCGATCGAAACAGCCTTTATAAGCTGACATTGTGACAAGGCTAGAACTAGATTTAGCCAACATGGTCAATCATACAGTACCAATGCTATACAGTATGTTCAACTGCTATTCAATAGTGACAGGTATGCGTATTTAATTACGACAAACTATTGGTAACTATTTATATATTACTACATAATAGCCATAATATTATAAAGGCGATTTATTACAATTAGACAAGATTATATTTTCCTACAAATTAAAATATAATGAATTTCCAACACTTGAGCTTATTATTGATATTCAAATTTCAAGTCTTTCAAGTCAAGCGTATCGTCTCAAGAATTCTGTTTATATTATATTGCTATATGGACGTGCTACTGTAGTTTGTATGCAGTATTGCTTACTAAATATATTTATATAAGACGGCTCTGTGCAATAGTTAGTAAATCTAAAATCTGGTTAAACTAAAGGTAGTTCAAATGGTATTTCAAACGTGCTGGTTTAGCGTAGCTGGTATTGCCGTGGGTTTTGTCTGAATTGTGAATGAATCCGTTTGCTAGCCGATACTACATGAAATAAAATAGGATATTTCGAATCTATTGCATTGATGATCTGACGATGAATTTGCAATAACTTCGAGATAGCGCTGTTGAATATTGAGCCTTCTTGCTCCACGTAAATATTAAGTTTTAAGACGGAACTTCTATTGCGTTTCCTATTTTATGCAAAGCACAGTTCCGACGTGAGACGCTTGTTAAAGCTATCACTAAATGCCTAAGGAAGGTATTTGCTCGAATGTCGTCGAAGTGTTTTCATCTTTTCCATGTAGAGGCAAGAGGCATTAACGACACGTTATAACATGTCTGAACTCTGCGGCTTTTGGCCTTTGAACGTGCGTAAGCGGGTCGCTGATATCTGTTATTGTCATTTGATGCTAATATTTAAAACCATGCTAATTTCACTGCGGGGTACCATGATTTGCTTTCTAAATATATCCATGTGTTTGCTTTCAAAATCTGAGTGAACAGTATGGTGTTGCAGAAACTAAACTGTTGGGCTTTACTGGCGAGACATATTTCTGAGCTGCTGCAGGTTTTTATCGATAATCTGGATTTCAACCAACTAGCGTGTATAAAAAACGAGAGCTTTAGAAATGAACCTTATTGTTAGAATTTGAATGCTATAAGATTACGTTGAGCGCAAGAGTGCAGAAACACAATTGAATTGAATTCTTAATTACCAGGAGCGAAATAAATTTTGCTTAACAACAATACGTTTATTTGTAAAGGTCTCTTTTTTATGATACACTCTGTAGAACACGAAATTTGGGGTGATTGGAAACAAGCGTTGGTGCTACTGAAAGAATATTAAATCAACGTAACCTCGTCTTCTGAGTTGACTGTGGAAATAAACCCGCTGTTACATGCCTCTATATTTTCTCATCGTAAAGACAAAACTTGTATATATTTTCAGTCCAGCCCATTGTCCAGTCCCATACTTGGCGGCTTTATGACAATGAGGCTGATTTCTTGCATGCACGACACTAGTACTGAGGACACTCCTCGCTCGGTTGTACACCCATATGGTCACGCCCAAACTCTCGATTTCGGTTGTGACTTATTAGTCTTAAATGATGTCCTCAATAATTGAAAGATTTGGTAGTTCCCGCCATCAGACAATGCCACTAGAACTACAATCTTGGACATGACACTTTGAGACAATTTCAGGCAATATTGAAAAGTTAGTGCACGTTGGACAAACAAGCTTCGTCACCCCTTCTCCCCTAATTCGATGTTGCAAACAGCGCCAGAAGGTCTTTTCATAATTTAACACGAGCGCAGCATGATTTTAAATGAAATTTATCATAAAGGGTACCGTATATAAGCCCCTCCATGTACAGTATATAAGGGTAAATTATTTGGACAGGCAGGAATTTACAGCATTAACGCAGCGTTGGGATCGATTCCAACAGCTCAGACAAGTGACGATAATTATAATATGTTAACAACTTGTTTTATTACGTTTTATATACTGTATATTTAGTATTTCTTTTCGTTCATGATAGGTTTACAGGTACAATCAATATTATTACTAACACCAAATATCTTCCGTACATAAGCACCCCGTATATATGTTTACAAACGCACATAAGGGCAGGGCTTATATTCGGAGGTTTACAGAAAGCAAATTACGTATGGAGGGGACGGTAATCTTGGCCAGTTATGTCAGTAGCGTAACTCATATGGGCGCCGCCTACCTCAAATCAATTCGGGAGGCCCTGAACAAGGATAAGAAAGTGGCGAAATTGACGGGTTTTTTTAGCAAATCCCCCCCCCCCCAACCCCTCCAATACATTGTCGCCACCGTAAATGGGCAGGAACGGCGGGAGGGGAACTATATGGGTTAAAGCCGGGGGTCCGTCAACCCAAAGTTACGACACTAAGTTATGTCGAAGATTGTAGCTGTTCCATGCACACACGGCGAGATTCTGCGTTCAATCACGTCAGATGACGTGGTCCTCAGCGTAAAGCAAATAGCAATGGCTAGCACGTACAATATTTTAGACCCACGTTCTACTTTGGTCACGTTCAGTTTAATTACTCCAGACAAACAAAGGATGAAAGAAAAATAAAAATATTAATATGAAATATGTTGTCAATGTTCCGCTAATAACCATGTTTACACTGTAGTCATGACAAAGTTGAACGAAGTTCAGCCAAGGTGATATGTAGGCTCATGGGACGACGATCGTAGGTTTGGTGAAGATTTATTTGCACTAGCACTATTAAATAATGTCGACCACAGCCATGTCTAGGCCAAGCTGGCTTAAATTATTAACATGGCTTATGTGCATTGCTGCATATATTAATATTTTTTATTGTCTAGTTATTTGTTAATCCTTTGCTCTATTCTTGACATTACATGACATGGAATTCTAGGTATATTTCTGTTCGTAATTTCTAGGTTTTTGCTTTCTCTAAAACGTTGTAAAGGATAGATGGAAAAAAGAATAAAGAATAAAATCAAACGATAAATATAAAATGCATACGTTAGCAACTGGAAGAAAAAGTAAATGGAATGTGAAAGCTCACAAAAACACGCACAGCTGCACATTGAATTTCAATAATCACTACACAGTATGCATGCACAAACAGATATCGCTTAATAATTCTCGTATTTGGCTGTCACGTTTCTGATAGGTAATTAATTGATACAATCTCTAGCTTCGCATTCCAGGAATGTGAAATTGAGTCTAAGAATTCAGTCAAGGTCAAGCTTGGTAGGATATAAGGTTTCAAATATCTAAGGAATTCATAAAGCGACCCAAACCTGCTTAGTTTTATTATCGTAGTTGCCGCAGCAACTGCAGTACAAAAGTTTTGTTAGATCGTCTGTTGAACTATTTTACATTCACGGTACTGTCGGTATATACGTCATACGAAGCGACATATAGGAACTCTTTGTAAGCCTTGATTTTTTTTGCTGCCGGGTTTTCCCTCTTATAAGAATACGACACAGAGGTATGTTCAGACATGTGTCTTTCAATAAATGATGGAACTGCATGACATGATGACTGACAATATCGTAATTATATATGTTGTGTATGACAGTTGACTAAAAGCGGGTTGATTTTGCTTGGCATGTTCAGATAGTTTCGTAGTACTCTAAGCTTAGCGAGAGCTCTTGCTGCTCGGAGACGCTCAGTATAGGTCTATATATAACACCATTTGTATTCTGTGGCCCTGTTGTTCCTTGTTCAAAGCTGGATTTGCTTTAAACCTGGGTTAATATTTAAAGGACAATGGCAACGAAAATTTTTATTGGCTATTTCAATCGTAGGCCTATATATATGACCAACTAACTATGAAAATATTATCATTTCCTTCTCGAACATTTTAGTCTAAGAGTAAAATGCATGCAAACTTTGTGATTCGGCCAGTTTTGCCGCCATCTTGGACAACATTTTTGAAAAATTATCTCGAAGGTCAATGAACGTTGTGACGTCATTGGATGGGTAGCACCAAAACTACAAGAGAGAATTCTATTGCGTGCGTGTTATGTTAGCTAAAATATGTCGTTTTGAGCATTATGCTGGCCAACACTCTTCGCAATCAAACAAGAGAAGTCTACGCTATCAGATAAAAACATATCGAGCGACTGGGAAAGCAAGGAATGGCGCAATTGACAATACAGCAATTGATTATAAAATATTGCATTAGTATTTACCTTGTTACGTCGAATTTCTGCGTTTATTTGATACAGGGTCAGATATATACCATGAGAAATAGTGTTACAAACTAGTCACATACTTGGTAAAACTTTGCTGCCTTTTGTTTTGGCTCAAAGTGCACTACGCGTGGCAATATTCCGTATATTCGGTACTGTTTATAGTCATGAAATTGTGTTTACCCAGCCAATGACGTCAGATAATGTATTTGTGGCATAAATTAGCATACGCGCTTATTTTGCAAAATGGCGGACACATGTTGAACTTTGTATCAAATTTTCTCAACAACTAAACGCGACAAACCGGTCAAAATATGAAATTGAATATTCCGTGAGTATACCTAACAGATATAAATAATAAAAATTTTGGTTGCTTCTGCGCATCTGATTATTTCAAAACGGCAGAGAAGAAAACTCTTACTAATCCAGACACTGTTTCTGAAGAATTATTTCCAAATTTATTAACAAGCTGTCGTCAAGAAGTTTGCTTTGAATTTTAGGTTAACCGAGGGTTAGCTAATCGGCACTCGAACAACCGCTGATGTATATGTAAATCATTTCAAAATCAGAATGACAGTAATTTTCACCCTCAACAATCCTTCAACTGTAACTACTATAATTAAGCTATATATTGATCACAGGAATCATATCTGCATTTGGATTTCTAAATGGTCTAAAATATTAATAAAGAATTGCCATGATAGAAACAAAATAAAGAACATGTCGGAAATGACAAAAGATCTATTTTCCCTGTATAGGAATATATCGTTAGCGGTTTTCTATGGGATAGACAATTTTTTTCTGTACGCTGGAATATGTTCTTCTTTTCTGTGTGAGAACGTCAGTATCCTGTTATTCAATATCTTCTAAGTATGGTCATCATTAAAGGTGATCTACAGTCCGTATGTAAACAAAGCCTTTGTTTACTAATTTTTGTGTCCAAAATATTGAGCTTTATTCGACAACTATTTATATTTTCAAGCTTCTAGAGTATAATAAAAGATCAAGAAACAACAATCAGGCTTTTCAAGAACTCAAAACATGGTTAAACTGTTTGTATCATAAAAAGTGGGCTCATTTGTGCACATGCGCAGATCGGACTGTAGATCACCTTTAACAAAGTACAATTACTGTCTAAGTATAATTGTTAATAGTTACATAGTTACCTGAATATTTAATAATAACGTTTCTCGATCACCTCTTTGTTTTCAACATAGTTATTCACATTATTATTTTTAAAGCATTTTCAGGAAACTATTTCAAATATTACACAAAGTGATAGATCATTGTTATTCTGCATTTAACATCGCAGTCCAGTGCGATGCACCAACTCAAAAGTAAACAAAAAATGCAATAAAAATTGTTTCCCAGTGTCAGATTATTTTTTAATTCATTTTCGTTTTTTCAGATACTCTTGAAATAAATTGAAGCACGTACTTGTATAAGACAGGTTTTTTTTTGCGTTTCCCTGATTTCCACATTTTTCGGAAGAAAACCTGCAAAACAAATCATTTTAGGATACTTTGCAAAACAAGCCATGTTTTGTTTACAAAGGTTTTAAAGGTGAAAATGTCTTAAAAGAGTTTTCGGGAATTAATATAGTAGCTTTTAATCGCTAGAGGGTAAATCTTATTTCTATATTGTACGTCTATGAATGATGAATAATAAAATGTACCACTAAATATGCATCTAACTTAGCGAAGATATTTGCTGGTTTTACTCTGTGTAATTAGTTTATTAGGTGAATAATTCTGTACTAAATAGCAATGGTGGGATGGAAATTAAATATTCTTATTCATGCATGTCGAGTAAAAAGAAATTTTGCAGCTGAAATTTTTTTCTAGAGTGGGCATTAATGCAGTGGTGGTAAGAATGAAAAAATGATTATATAGTACTGGGTCATATCTTAAGTGGGAACATATCCGCGGCAAGGCTTGAAAATTTACATTTCTAAGGAATCCCGCCTTTCTAATTTGGTCTAGTTCCTCATATGTAGGAAGTATTCTTATTAGAACAATAATCACATCTCAAGCACCATTTCCGGCATATAACAATGAACAATACCACACCTCACGTTTATCAACGCATTCATTACATACGTCCACATGCAGCCTCATAGAGTGAGAACACTTTCGCAACTAAATATGACAGGCAGTGCGGCGCTAGCCATGGCAACTGGTTATGCCATGCGAATGAATCTGTAACAAATGAGTTGAAAGACAATCGTTTTCTATAGGTATGAATAATACAATAATTTACAAATTTGCATATAACAAATTTTCTGTGGTTAGCGTCGCCACTGATTGACAGATCAAATACTTTAGGAAAATGTATCGACTATTCCCCAACAATAAGTAAGTAAAGATGTACGTAAGTAAGTAAGTGAACTTTATTTAACCACATAGTCTTGTAGACAATCGCCAACAACTTTGTATCTATTTTAAGGAAGCTAAAATTAATACACTAAAGTCATATGTGAATTGCGCATGTCTCCGAAGAAACATTTTGAACAATATTGGAAGAATCAAATGTAACAATATGTGACGTTTCATAACTAAATAGTTTTCCCTGCTTATGACTGAACTAAATGATCAATTTTAGGTAGTTCTTAGTTGTAAATATAAAGTTATTCTTTTGGTACAACCTTATATATAATATAGTTTACATGATGTTTCATATGTTTCACATCATGCTAATAATGTTTCAAAATTATAAATGTAGTTCTTTGCCTTTGGAGGTTCAGTCAGTTCCATAGTACGCGGTTCCAATCAATATTTATATGCTGTTGAGTGTCCAAAATTAGTTTTATTAATATAGGTTTTTGAACACCACTATAATATTTTGTTTAAAACGTATTCATGACGCATTAAATGAAATTTTGGATTCACATTTCTATTACTTTAGAAAGCACGAAACGTTTCAGATAATCTATAATTCGCCAAGAACGACAGGAGATTTGAGTCAAGATTAATTGTAAGAATCTAAGGACCTGACGTTTTTCAGAATTTCGACGATTTCGCTAGAAAGGCCTTGAAAAGTTGAAACTCTCTTTATAATTTGATGTATAGTTGGATCTTTCGACCAACTACATTGTTATGACAGCTACCTTAACTGGAACAAACTGCTTAAGAAAGCAAATTCACGTCGCCTTTGTCTTAGAGTAAAGTTGATGAGCTAATTCTCGTTGCCGTTGTATTCCCCAAACCCTCTATATTCATTTCAACTTTCAACGTAACAGGAAGATGATTTTGATGCAAAGATATTGAAAGCTGTGAAGAAAGAAATGTCAACAGACAGTGAACTGACGCCCAGTGCTCCTCCTATTGTGGCGACAACACTCACTCTTGACACAATACAGGATGTTCTCACAATACAGGATGTTCTACATACCCAGGGATATAACATTGAAGGTGCGTGATCATTGTTGTGTGATTTACACACGTAAAAATCTCACAACTTGTCAACAAGATGTGTTTGCAACAGGCTTATAGCAAGCTTGTCAACAAGTTGTAACAACGCTGTTATCCTATAAAGTTTCTGTATAAGGTTGTCACTCAGAACTTGTTGACTAACTTATGAACTGAAGGACAATAACAAAGTTGCTCGAAATACTTATAAGACAAGTCTGTTGAGCTCATCAAGTTTGTAGCAAGTTGACAAGTTGTTGGAAAAGTATTGCTGGAAGCCTACTGAAGGTTTGTTACTTACACTACAGTATAGAAAAAAACTGAAATCCATACTACGAAATTTGCAATTGCACCACAAAATCCATAGTATATCCATACTATTTTCATACTGTATCGATATTATGAAAATATACAATTATTATGGATAATTCTATTTCCAATAAAGGTCCATACAATTTCCATTCTATGACCTATGGATTTTCAATTTTTTTTCCATTGTTATATCATTTGTATATGTTTAATTCCCCTTGCGGCGCCTTCCCGGACGAAAGTCTTGGGCTACAAGTCACGGATATATTTTATTAACTTTACTAACGTCGAAATATGGCTTCAACTGTAAATAGTAAATTATACTACGCTCAATTTTTGGTACGGCACGGATAAAATTGGTACCAGTACCACTTTATAGATAGTCCAAGAACCAAAAAAGTGGTTCGGTACAAAAATTGAGCGTAGTGTAAACGGAGCTTATGTTACGCGATCTAACCGCAACTGAGCTACGCAGGTCAGTTGTCGAGCTTTCACCATAAGTTCATGTGTATATACTAGGGGACTGCCATGTTAGGTTATGAGTAAATATCAAGATTTTTTATGGCATCTCAGAATATTAGTTGAAGGGTGTTGTAAATAGAAACTATCGAGTGTAAATTTATATACATTCATTAGATCTAACCATGCAGGCCGAGCTGTAAAAAATGTCTGTTTGGCATCAGACAGAGTAAAGTAGAGACCACTAAAGACCAAATGATCTGGTATCTTGCACTTCACTTGGTGCACTTGACCAAGAACGACCGCAAAAAATTCAGCACAAGGTCCTCCGGTAGGAATTGAACCTACGGCCCTGCGATTCCGGTGCAGCGCTCTAACCAACTGAGCTACAGAGGCCAGCTGTTGAGCGGTATTACAAACTGGGATTGCAAACCCTAACAACAGCATTCTAATATATTAACACCACCAAGTAAGTGAAGTGCAAGAAACCAGATCATTGAAGTCCACCTTATCACAACACGCACACCCGATCACCAAAATATTGATGAACTTACGGTTACAGCTCAACAGCTGGCCCCTGTAGCTCAGTTGGTTAGAGCGCTGCACCGGAATCTCAGGGCCGTAGGTTCAATTCCTACACAATGTAAAGCCAGTCTATATGAAGCTTTAGATTTTGCTAAGAGTTACAAAACATTTGAACTTAAGGCCTAATCTAGTACAGAGATGTGATAAGTCTTAAATTTTGCACTTCAAAAACCACAAACTACCGATCTTAGGAACCTTGAGCATGCAAGAAGGACGCAAATGCGTTAGTATGACGACAATCGTGATATTGTAGAAAAGAAATTATTTATCAAAATCTCATAAAAGTATTGATGTTGTCTTCGCCGAGTTCGCTCTGTTTACAGCGGCAAATCATAGATTATCACGTCTTGTGTAACAACGGCGATATTTCAAGCTCGGACAACGGTTATTTCAACTTTAAGCATAGAACTCTTCCCAACCAAAAATCCTTGTCTTAACCTCGATCCTTAATAAATTGTATTAATTTCATATCATGGATAATAGACGAAAGGTTTCCTTTACAATCATTTAGTTCGGCAAGTTTGCTTGCAGCGGTAGCGTTAAAATATGCTTAAGCTAAGCTATAAGCTAATCACTAAAAAGGAGGGAGGAGGATGGAAGAGGGGAAGGGGGAAGGGAGGAGGAGGGAGGTGGAGGGAGGGAGGGGGAGGGAGGAGGATGAGTAATTTGACAATTCATTGATACGGTAATTACAACAGGTCGGGTGCATGAATGTATTATTGAACGGCGGAAAAAAGAAGACAAAATATTCCCAACTGAATGAGCACTTTTCAGGCATAGCCATGCTGACATTGCCTGTAATGAAGTTTTGTCTACTAATTGTAGCATTAATAGAACATGTATGCATGTGTGAAACATTCACACGTCGCTTTGTGTGTGGGGGGAAGGGGGGCGGGGGGGGGGGAGATATACGATCCCTGCGTGTCACTTATTTACATCCAATAAGAAATACGTTAATGTCTTGGACATTGTTACCTGGAGGGTGTTTTTTATTCTTCTACCTGACATCTCGCGATTTAAATAGAAACTTCCCAAAAGTTTGCATTAAAATTTGAGTGCGCATGAAACTATAGCTCGAGACGGACAATGTAATCCAAGTACATGGTTTTGATTGCCAGCCAGCAAATTCTGGAAGTGTCTATACTGTACACAAAAACAGGAAGGGCTGGTATTGATAAGCCAGGTAAAAATATCGCCATATCGAAACAAAGCTGACCATGGCATTTGATTCAAATAATCATCTCTAGAACAATATCCAAATGAATAGAACGGAAATAACAGGGACGTAGAAAGCAGGAATGACAGAGCATTCCACCTGCCCAATATTTTATAAAAGGGGTAGTCGGTAGGGCGGAATAGCTTTCGTCTTCTCTCCCCCCACCCCCAACGCACACAAAATAATGAAATTTAAAACATAAAATGGGTCGGTTCCTACTAATATGAACAGGCTTGGTCACTAGTTGTTTAAAACAACAAGAAATAATAAACTATAGAAATCATATTTCTGAATAATCGGTCATTAACACTGATCACTTTTGTTTCAGAAAACCAATCGCAAAACGTGTTCATATTAGGTAGGTACAGAAAAGAATTGCACGTATAGCATTGATTTATAAAATCATAACGTAGGAATTAATGAAACGGCCTAATTAAAGAGTTAGAGAAATTTTTATGAATGCCATTTCCGACTACCTAGGGATTCTAAATTTTCCCGCTCGGCTCCAACCATCTTGGAGAAGTTAACGAAACTCCCTACAACCATGAAATGATAATCCTAGGAAAGGCCATGCATACCAAATAGAAAATACTTTTGATTATATGAGTGGAGCTGGTCAACGTACCTTCCTACGGGAGAAGGCGTTGTTTATTCGCCCAATATCTCTTGCTAAAGTTGTGTTGTAAGCTTCACATCGATAAGATCTTTGTAGTAAGCCAAGTTTAAATATCAATATATATATTGGTTTTAAACTTGGTTTTACGAGATCATTCGACTCCAATATTTTGCTCTGTTGATTAATAAAAAATGTGCCTCAACATCACTCTAACCATACTTCATCTTATTTCAGCGTCAGGAGATGAATCACAATGTGGCCCTTTTGAAGGTAGGAAATATATTTTTCAAGATGTGATAACTCATCGATATAATGTTACGATCTGAATATTACGAGTGTTTGTCATACTGTATTCATTGTAATTCAAGCGTACCCAAGCAGCCTGCAGCAAAAGTGATTGATCTCTTTCCGTTATCAAGCGCAATTTCCTTTCTTTTACGTATCTTTCCTATTTTAATATATTCGTTTTCTTGTATGAGAGGAAATGTAAGCTTTTATGAAGCAGTATGTCATCTTGTAGGAATACATGCATCTACCAATTCCGGCGTTAAAATTGATGGATGTCTTGCGAGAAGGAGATTACTACTAGTAATATCCAACGTTCACTAGTTCGGCTCGATTTAAAAAAAAAGTTTGGTAAAAAATACCGTCATGCAGCTGTCTGCAGCTGTCGGTATAGCGGTATGCAGCTGTTGGTGCGGTATTTGGGATTTGCGATTACGATTAACATTTCTACAGCGCAAATGTACATGTGGATATGATCAAATGCGCTTTACATCAAGTATTACGCTTACCTAAATGACTTACTTAACCTAGACTATTTTATCTTTACAACAATTGTGATATTACTTTCTTAATTGTGTTTATCCCAACCGGGTAGAATCCGGGACCACCCGGAGAAAACCCACGACTTTCGGCAGAGCGTTGACTGTCTCCTTGCGAGAACCCATGAACTCAGAGGTGAAAGGATCTTGCTATGACTGCTGCCTCACCTAAACTACACAATTACAATGATATGCAAGCATAAAGAAGCAATATGGTTCGCTATTTGGTAATTTTAAGACAATTGTTTTAAAGAATTGACAACATCCCTTCTAGGACATTGTTGAATCAGAATTTTTATTTCTTCTTTAGACACTCGATTTGACAAAGTGGTTGATGTCCAAACCAATGGTGGTAAGATAGCCACGCATCAATTTTATCACATACCAAGTGTCAAATTTCATGTTTTCATAACCTCTGTGAATATTTGAATGGCGATAATACAATATATGTTTTGGTTTGTCGAAAACACTACGTAGTTGTTGCAAAACTTTCGATCCGTAAGCGCGGATCTTCATGAGTACATAAGCACAATATTCCTTTTTATACACGCTCACTCCAAAGCATATTTTGTATTATATTTGCGCAAGCATTTGCCATTTGGCGTTATCTGCCTTTAAAGTTTAACCTCGACGACTTTTGATTGGAGGATGTTCATTTATATTTTACAGATGGCTTGATCAGTGAAGAAGATGAAATTAATTTCATGAATATATCAGGTACTATGTTATCTAAATAGTCTTTATCGCACGACATGTGACCAGTCTTTGTTCGCTATTTTTTGGGTGGCAAACTGCACAATTTAGAGAATAAAATTGAAACGCACCACGATGGTTTGTATATCCTATTTCCTTCACTAAATCACTTGTTATCTCAGTAGTAGGCTATGACCGTTGGCGTATATGTGTCGTCAAAAAAGGCTTGCTTCTATGCTTAAGCTTTCTAATAATGAGCTCCATATTGACTAATAAGTTCTTAGAATCTGACTTGCTTGATTAAGCTCTCTATTAGCGAACTAATTAGCTCTCTAATTAGCTCTCTAAATACCTCTCTAGAAACGTCGCTCGCTAAAGCTCTCCAATAGCGGACAAGGCCTGGTCGCATAAGAAAGGCTAATTCTACCAACTCATGAACTGAGTGCGACACCTTTATCTGAATCCGGATCTGGACATGAGCTTATAGTTTCTTAGCTTCCTAATACTGGGTACGGCTGCAACTTTTGTTGAACCCAGCATTGGGTCTTTCTTTTAATACTAAAGCCCAGGTCACACTACACAACGATAACGATACGATAACTTGTATACGCGCGCTGATTGGTCAAAAATTTATCGTTATCGTCCGACTGAAAAAAAAATCGCTCAGGTGAGCGATTTTAAAATCGTTATCGTTATCGTCTAACGATAATTTTATCATTTTCGTTGTTGTGTGGACACTAACACAATTTTTTTGACGATTATCGCGTGTTTACAATTTATCGTATGGTTATCGTTGTGTAGTGTGACCGGGCCTTAAGCCACTTGGACAAGTGAAGGAAAGACATTATATATAAACCATTGCACAAAATTACCAAACAACCACGATGAAAATTTTAGTTTTACATTTTCACAGCTGCTATAACTGACTTCAGCGACTACATGATTGAGTAGTCCAATTTTCATGTAATGTCCTCGAGATCTATTCTCTGACAACTATTCCTCCGTGTGAACTGTTCCAATTCAATAATTCCACATCAGGCAGCTTACTTATAGTTATATACAGTAGCTGCTATTCCTTTTAATTTGTTATAAACGACACAAACTGTTTAGTTCCTCAACGTTGTAGGAAATGTTGATGTTGAGATCTTTGCGCTTTTGGATATAAAATTTTAAACTCGTTCCTTGTAGCAGGCGTCAATTTGACCAATTAAAACTTGTAGTAGGCGTGGATTTGACCAATTTGACTTGCATTAATACTTGTCCTAGGCAATCTTTAAACATCAGACAACATGAAACATCGTCGGTTTTAGCCTTTATTGGCCAGCGAATAAAATCCAGAGTTAATTGCCTTGTTGGAGTTGTATTGTACTCTATTATTCCCTTGTAGTTGTTGCAGATTTTGGTCTATTTTCGTATTTACCCGCAATAATTGGCTTACTCTGATACCCGCGTGCATGCGTTGACTATGCCATGCATTTAGGATCTAGATTATAACCACACAATACATTGATTTCATTTTTATCATTTCCTGTTATGGCAGAAGATGTCTGAAATGGAGGTCGTAAACCTAAATAATTATGTCCGACAAATGTTTCGAATCGTTGCATTGATTCATAGTCTTTCAAAGCATGGTTTGGCATGGAAACTTCGCTAAAGTCTTTGTTCCATCTTTTTGTTCGCGTTTATGCAGTTTTGTGCACGGTGATGAACACATTGTGTTTCAGTATAATGAACGAATCATCCAATAGCAACGTTTTAGTACAGTCTATGCTATTTAAATATTAATAAGCCTAAAACAAAGAATGTGCATGGTGTAAGGTACTGCTCAACATAAACTCCCATTTCATTATAACCGCTTTGAAGTTTACTGAGTTTCCAGACCATGTCTCGGAAGACTATATATGATCAATTTTATCTAAATTAAACAATATGGGGAATTGCAATGCGACGGGACATCATCACGCAAGAACAGTTATTGAAAATACTAGAAAGTTATGGATTGAGAGAGACTACCTGAAAAATACAAGTAAAAGTTCGACATTTCTAGACAAAGGCAACCAACGTCCGAACGAAGGACCTTCGCTGGAAACGTTAACATTTTACTTGTATTTGAAGGTAGTGGGTAGGTTGAATTTCTCTCAAGCTGCAGCTTTCTGGTGTTCTTCATTTAGTAAGAAGATTAAGCAAGCGATGTTTTTGTCAATACGGACGTCAGATTGCTGAGGGGGAGGTCGGATTATAAACTGTGTTTGTGTCAGTTTGTGGCAATAATCAACACATATGACAAAACATAAGATTTTTAAAGTTTTTTGCTTCCTTGCATGAGCGCAGATTAAAATACCGCCGGAATTAGTCATACCAATTTTCGGGTGACGTTCGCGTGTTGACAAAAACGTTGCTTGCGTAAGCTCAGTAATATCACTATAATGACTATATGCCTACGCTGGTACAGAACGTTTGTATTGAAAATATCAATCTTGATTTAGATTTTGGTGTCAGTTCAGATCCGTCCTCGCTTGATATTGATTTGTTGAACTATGACTCAGGGATTGAAGCAGAGATTGAGGAAAATAAAGGTCTGAAATTTATTCAATAAACCTTATGCATAATGACGTCACAAGGCTTGATGCCCGCGAGGAATGCTGGTCTTAGTAGTCATCGCCTTGTAACTAATTTCGATACTGGCCATTTTGAATTGTTTAATTTCCCCGAGCGATGACTACTAAGACCAGCATTCCTCCCGGACTTCAAGCCTTGTTACGTCATTATGCGTAAGTACGAGTATTTCTCGCAACGGAAATGCAACATTTTAAATTTCATTACGTTACCGGCGAAAGAGAGGTGGCAACACGTTTTAAAAATCAAGGATATAATGCCTATATGGTCATGATTTTGTGTCAAAATTTAGCGATTTTAATTCCTGACAAAAGTTTAAAAATTAGCTTTCTGTGAAGTGTGCAAAGAAACTAAGATCATCGACCACTCCCACAAACGTCTATGACCGCAACTACATATTTTTGCATGTTTACAATTCTAATTTTGAACAGCCAATCCTGTTCTTGGTAACAATTACAATTAAACGGCGATTGGCTGTTTAAAATTAGAATTGTAAACATGCAAAAATATGTAGGTGCGGTCGTAGACGTTTGTGGGAGTGGTCGATATACGAATTTTGATGCGATTCCACAGTTCGGTGACTTTCGTAATTTATCAGCTAAAATTGTTTATGCCTCTTTCTAAAACAGATGTTTGAGCTATTATTATATTTGTAAAAAGCCTTTGTTTTACGCACGGAATATAGGATTCGCAGTTTTGATAACGTGTCTACGTATTTATTAAGCACTTTAAGGCACGCACGTGTGTATTTATTAATGGTTATTAAATGTAAGCGACGCGCTCTGAAATTCCAGACTTGTCTGAAAATATGTATATATAGGCTTGTCTAGATTAATAGAAAATTTAATTTTCCTTGGGCAATATGATATGTTTATCATTATGTCATTTTAGCTCGATCCCCAGGAAGACGTTCTAAGACGAAGCAGAAACGCCGCGTAAACCGTAAGTATTTCATTAAATATCTAACCATGATTGAATGGCACGAAAGGAAACACTATGTTTCTGGATCTGAGACTGTAAACAAAAGCACCGCTCAATGCTGTTGAGACTTTCACGTGATATACGCTTTCGTCTATAATAAGATAATAGCTATATGCAAGAAAGCATTGACTTTGGTCAACATGATGAAACGCACAAGTTGTTACGGCCGTGTCGCACTATTGCGTGTCGTACTGGCGTATGCCAGCGTATGGAAAATATCACTCATACGCTGGTATACGCTGACATACGCTGGCATACGCTGGTATACGCTGGCATACGCTGGTATACGCTGGCATACGCTGGTATACGCTGGCATACTCTTGGGGTACGTTAGGCATAGGTTGTATGCGCTTCAAGCACGGTGCATAGATACGCGGTGGCATACGCATGGATACGGCGAGGCAGAATTTCTTTGAAGCATGCTTAAACATTTTGCTCTTTGTGCGTATGCGGAGGTATTGCTTACACGCTATACGTTTGAATTCTCTCGTACACAATAGTGTGACACGGACTTTACAAGTCTGGAAACATGTTGTTACAAATCTATTCACAAGCTGTCAACTAGTTGTGTTCGCACTGCTTGTTTCCAGTTGTTGTTGGCATCATGCATCAAACTTGTTACAAGGTTGTTTTAACAAGTCTGATACAGTCATGATATAACAAGAATGATACAAGGTTGGTTGGTGACAGAACGTTGTAACAATATTGTAATCATCATTGTATCATGCAGACTTGTTGCAACAACCTTGCAACAAGTACAATAATGCCATCAAGCTTCTTGCAAGTTGTTAACAGTTTGTTCCAAACTTTTTGACAACTGGGGGGACAAAAACAGTGCGAATACAACTTCTTAACGGTTTGTTAGAAGACTCGCTGCAAGATGTGAGATTTTTCCTTGTGTAATTGGTGCATAATATATATTTCAAAATGGTCGTCCATAATCTCCTCGCGCTAAGATTAAGGTTCCAAGATGATTTAAATTGACGATGTGGTACTGCCAATTACATTGAGAGGTTGCATCTTTTTATATGTAGCTTATATATAAGACCCGTATCTTATTGATATATCTTAATTATCAAGTGTGGAGCATGCCAAAGTCTGCATGCGCCCATTGGCTGCAGACTTGAATATAGCCATTTGCATCATAATGGCTTTCAGTTGGTAACTTTTGAATTTATGTGTGAATTTACGTAACATAAAATGAATGAACAGCAGATCTATATCTGATTTACAAGACGAGCCGAGAGCAAGGCGTAGTATACATGTAGGTAAAATAACTAAATAAGTAAATGAGATACACATCGGATGCAAAAACTTTGTATCACATAAAATACAAGAATAAATTGAAGCTAAAATATAAATCTTTGTTCTTCTATAAGCTAAAATTTAAATCTTCACTGTTCTTCTAGCTATGTAAAATTTTGAACGGTCTGCGCTAGTGTATGTCGAGACTATACTAAACGGCTGTGGTGTGAAGGACATACAACTCCATGGAAATATTGACAAAACTTTGACAGTTCGAGCGGAGGGCGCTTCGTTGCTAGCTACCCAACGAAGAGCCTCGAAATATCGAAATTCTTCTCATCAGATAATTCATGTCCATCACGCAGTTATCTTTTATCCGTGCTGATTTATTTATTCAGAAATTTCTTCAGAAAGTTATTAAATGAGAATTTTAATGTCTTATTTAGGCTTAGAAGTTGAAAATGTCTCCGACAATGCTGATGAATCGGAAGAAGACACAGGTAACCTAAATCCATTATTGGGGGCTGTGGCACTGTTCAGCGTAATTAAAAGATAATTGAATGACGTTGAACGGTCAATAGACATTATGAATAATGACGTCACAAGGCTTAATGCCCGCGAGGAATGCTAGTCTTAATAGTCATCGTCCGGGAAAATTAAACAATTCAAAATGGCCACTATCGAAATTTTCCCTGTCGAATTTTCCTCGCGGGCATTAAGCCTTGTGACGTCATTATGCATAAGGTCTATTAATAATAATAATAATAATAATAATCCATCCTGACTCACGGATGCATAAATCATAATTATTGAAAGAACCCAACGAAAGAGAAAGAGAAGACTCTGAGAATCCCTTTTCCGAGTTTCAAAATTCCTCCAACCATGGTAACGGCTCGTGGAATTTGGCCCCCTAAGGTTATCAAGCTTCCTACAGTATGTCCCAGATTTCCAAATTGTATTACAAATTGAAATTGTTTTTTGCAGTGTTATTAATAATGCTTTAATAATGTATCCCTTTCTCATTTGCTTACATAGTTTCAAAATTCCATTGCCAATACTTATGGGAATTTCTACAAAGTTTATTGAGCTGTAAGAAATTCAACAACAAATACATTGAATGGAAAAACCACCCGGAAGGAATCTTCAAGTTGAATGACCACCATTCAGTGGCGAGACTCTGGGGAATACAGAAGAAAAGAAAAAATATGACTTATGATAAATTGAGTAGAGCTCTCAGGTATTATTATAGTAAAAATATCTTACAGAAAGTTGATGGCGAGAGACTCACGTATAAATTTTGTAAATCTGTATATGAATACAAAAGTTAAGCTTAATCTGGCCGAATCTACTTGATTTAAAATTTCAATAATTCATGATTTAAAATCTGGCATTAAATAACAAAGTTTTATTTTTGTGGCCAGATTAATTCGTTAAGTAAATTTTCTTAATATCAAATCCACAAGCTGAATTCTATGTTTTTATAATGTAGGATGTAATCCTATTTCATTTTAAAATATTGTCAAATGGCGTCTTTTCAGATATTCATAACACTTGTGTCGAAGAGTAAAAATTTATACCAGGTTTGATTTTCAGGGAAAAAATGAATCAATTCTATAAACCACTACGCGTTTAGGTTTTTGTTTTAAATCTGTTCAATAAGTTGTTAGTAGAGCAAAACGCATCATTATTGAGGATCAAACGCATCATTATTTGGAAATGAAAGTAAATTGCTCGCAAACATGGCCCTTTTGACACCATATCACGAAAACACGCTATAGCCTTCAGACAAACATGTATAAATTAAAGATTCTTGTAATTAATTTAGATTTATACAGAACTTGATTGATGCACGATCAATAATTACCCAGTACAAGCAGTATACGTTTTTACCATTTTTATTCATTTTGTACATAATTTGCGCTATTATTAAGATAAAAAAAGATTAAAAAATGTGTTGTTTTTAAACGATCTAACAATAATATGGTAATTGTAATAGGCTATAAAAAGAAAAAATTATACGCGATCCGGTAAAATCGAAAAATCAGGGAGTACAGCACAGGGAGGTCGTTTCAATTCGCCTCAACTGCTGGTTGCAGAACATAGTTTGTAGAAATATTTTGTTCTGCATTCATTTTGCGGTATTCTTATATAAAGTTAAATAGACAAATGTATTAAAAACTAACCCCTGTACAGATATAGAAAATACAGAATAGGCAGTAACTGAAATCAAACGAACATTGCACTAAATGCTTCGACATACCTCGTTAGTTGCAGCAAGCGATTGAAGCAAGTTGCAAACGACCTACTTCATTCTTAGATTTTGCGACTAACAACGTCGCGTTATGATATATGCAAATTACGAAAGTAGAATAAAACATGTTCATGATTTCTGGCTATGGGGAGGTCCGTACTGAATATGTTTTCCCGAGGTCTCAAGCGGATTTTGGATCAGCTGTGATTTTATAAAAACGATGAAAAGCCTTTATTTTTTATGCAGTGAATGTTTTTCTACTCAGCAAAACAATAATAAGGTAAACTGAGTTAAAACTATATTTATTTTCCTGATCTTTTAAGTAGAATAACACGCTTAAAATGTTCTTTTGGCAAGCAGAAACAAATTGTACGTGCCAAAAAATGTTGTGTTCAAAACCCACCCCTGGCCGAAATTTTACAAAAGGATACCATTCAATTGTCACACATGTCCTTTACTTCAGTCTTCGACATGAGTTTGATAACTGCAATATTCTGCAGTTATCGACTAGTTAGAGACTACAATTGCCGTCCTGGAAGATCAGTAAATGATCGAGAAAGTGACTTTGAATGATTTACATGATATTGTGTTTGACATATGCATGCATGACTGTTGACATTGCTTTTTAGTCTTCAATATTTGAACGAGTCATGCTTTGGAAATGACAATAAATTTTTATTACCCAACCCTTGAGTTGTTTTTCATTTACCCAACCTTTTACTCACTCAAAATGTTGTTTACCCAACCCTTTTCTCTTCGGCGCCACCCCCTATAAATAATGACCCTTTGTTTAAAGGACTATATTGTATTTCAAACTTACATAGTCTCGTTTCGCTGCATCCCGCCAAGATTATTTCTTAAGACTGTTTCCAGGTATTTTCCACAGGCTCTTTTTGCCATACAATGTTTCTTAAACTTATTCTTGTGCCAAAATTCAGTTAAATTCGTCCACATTTGTTAGAAATACTTATCTAAATTTCGCCGCCATATTGGATTTTGTTGTTTTGATTTCCCGCTCCCCCCAGCCATCACGAAAATCATTAATTGCACTCCTGGAGAGTGCAATTAATGATGGTAATAGAACGAATAGGAGTGCTATTAATGCCATAATCATACGAGTGATTACAAAATCAACCGACCGCGTAGCGGGAGGTTGATTTGTTAATCACGAGTATGATTATGGCATTAATAGTACGACTTTAATTCGTTCTATTACTTATTAATTATTTATCTTCTGTAATCAAACTGTTTAAGGGGAAAAGCAGAAAAATACAATTTGTTGAAGTTCAATATAATTATTAAATTTTTGTCACGACAATTCTTAGTGAAATAGTACAATTTTGAATTATTGTTTATCATATATAATCAAATTAACATATTATTAACTTCCGGGCATTATTTCCGGTATAATCACATGACAACATTTGTTTGAATTATTCAAAACACAATTGGGAAGCCATGTTTGTATGTTTAATAACGTGTTCAAAATAGTGAAGTGGCTTTAGTCCAATTAATCATCTGAATTGGATTGAAATATAGCTCCTGGTTGTGTTTAGTTCGGTGTCTTCTGCTGGATGAACAGGTAGGTCATTTTCGTCAGAAAATATATAATTTAACAACCCTCGAAAACGAGATCTGCATTCGGCAGATCCGACCTACAGTAAATGCCGACATATCAACCTCCCATGTCGGCAATGTTTTGCCGACCTTAATTCAGCCAAAGTAATAATCTTTTTTGGTGCTTATAGCTGTTAAAAAGTCAGCGATTATAGAATTCGATGTACTTTGGTGTAAGGTTTAAGAATTAACGGGTATATTTATGATATAATTTAGGTAAAACTCTAAAAGAAAAGGCTTCGTGACATTTATACTTTTCAATGATTCGTAAATACGTGATTACTAGTGCAGGCTACTAGTGCTCCAAGACATGGAAACAGATTTTAAAAAATGCCGAGATGTACCGAGCTAGGTCAGGTTTAGGTCGGCATTTTTTTCCGACCTCAATTTTGACGGTTTTCGAGGGCTGATTTAAAAATTAAAAGGTCAAAATTTGTGAATTCCTCCATTTTGAAATTTTTTACAGCAATAAAGAAAATAAAATTCAAAGTTTGTATCCTGAATGCTGATTGGCTAGTTGTAAATACTAGACTGAGTTTCATTGGCTGTAGGCAAGAGTGTGATTACAGCTCAGAAAAGGTGCGATTAATGCTCAAATCGCACTCCTGTCAACCAATGAAATTGCAGTATTTGCCACTGATTACAGAAGATAAATAATTAATGAAATAATTGCACTCCTCTTAACCAATCAGATTGCAGTAATTTTGTCATGTATATAATAAGTTATTTTATGCATAATTAGCAATTTACCTGGGGTGGTGCATGGTCATTTTCTTGTAAAATATTTACTTAGACAATTTTTTTCTCCGAATGACCACCCCTAAAAGCAACCCTTCTAAACACTATAAGCACTTCAGAAGGACTATCGCTTTTTGTTTTCTGAAGTTAGAGCTATGTCGAAACTGCCGTTTCAGGGCGGGGTCATTTTCAGGACTTTCGTCCCGGATCCAGGTTTTGGCACATATGCCATGTTGACCGCCATGGTCATTTTACCCTAAAACAGTTGAGATTACCTGAGGTAAATGAAACGCCTACAAACTCATATACAGGTCCTAGACTAATTGGGAAGTTGTCATTTCTACAGTAAAAACAGCTTTTTTTCAAGTAGCACGAAATATGACTTCGATTTATCTGTGGAACTATTTGAACAGAAGGTAAAGCAGTAATTTTGTTGTATTTAGAAAGCAAACAGGGTCATATTTTTAAAAATATAGCGCACTGAATATAAATTTGAGCATCATTAAAATGTGTTCGCTATGATGCCATTTTGTCTCCGGTATATACGGAGTTCTGCTTTTATACTTGTGGATATTCGAATTTATTTGGCTCAAAAACACCATTACTTCAATATCCCTTTTGATAGTCTTAACCATAGCTTCCGTGGCACCATTCTGATGAGGAGCAAGAGGGGTAGTAAATTGCCATTTTATGCTGCGTTCTGCACAGAATTCTTTCAACTGCTTTACATTCCAACCTTTGATCATCAGGCGTAATTCGTTTTCAGCTCCTACCATTTGAGTGCCATTATCGGACAGGATGAACTTAGGATAACCTCGAGCAGAGAAGAATCGTCGTAATACTTGCATAAGTTCCATAGCACTAGCCTCAGCAGCAAGTTCACAGTGGATAGCTCGGTTATTGAGACAGGTGAATACAACACCGTAGTGTTTACTTGTCTTGTTTCGACCGAATTTCGCTTTCAATGGGCCGAAATAATCCAATGACGAGTAGAGGAATGGTGGCGTGTGTGGCTGTAGACGAAACTTTGGCTAATTCGCCATCAACTAGTGCTGCGTTTCCACTTTCGCTACGATTTCGCGGCAAACTGTGCACGACTCTTGATGACCTTTGCAATTCTGTGGGCTTTGATGATCCAATACTTCTTTCTGGTTTTGGCGACCGTGGCTGCGACACCGTTATGACCAACTTGATGAGCATCACGCATGATGACCTTCGATATGTGACTATTATAGGGCAATAACACTGGTCGTTCATTATCGTAGGAAACAAGTGACGAGTCTCCGCGTCCTCCAACTCGAATTAACTTCTTGTTATCAATTGCAACGTAAGGCGAAAGTGTTTTGAAATCTCCTTTCTTCATTCTTTGAAAGAGGCTTGATTGCGCCTGTTTGAGCCAGTATTCTTCTGCGGCTTGGAGCTCTTCACCAGTTAAGGGTCGCCATTCCGGTTGAGTGTTCTCGTCGTTACGCTTCGCATGTAAATTACGGTAGAATCTCTGGATATAGGCAGTAACGCTAACAATTCGTTTCCACTTGGCATAGCGTTGACAATCAAATATTGGATGTGCGACAGTTACAGGGCAGGTGACGGTAACTTTTCTTCTCTCTTTGTTAACTTCTTGTGCGTCCGGCATACCCATTTCCACTGACCACTGTTCCTCTGACGGTGATAAGAAAGAGGGACCGTTAAACCATCTACCGTTGAGCTCTTTCGGTGTGATACCCTTGGTCAGGTCATCAGCAACATTTTCAGCGGTGGGACAATGATACCAATATGCGGGACTAGAATTTGACTGGATTTCGCTGACTCGGCACGACACAAATGGTTTGTAGGAACGTGGCATTCCTTGGATCCAGGCTAAGGTTACTCGGCTGTCAGAAAAGAACATTGTTCTTAGAATTTTAAGTCTCCTTTCTTCTTGAATTGACTTCGCTAGACGACTCGCTAGTACGGCAGCTTGCCACTCCAGACGAGGGATCGTTAACTCCTTTAAGGGCGCAACTCGAGACTTTGCTGCTACAAACCGAACTCCAAATTTTCCATCTGACAATTTCCATCTAACATAGGTACACGCTCCAAAGGCCTTTCGGGATGCATCACAGAATGTGATCAGATCTGGATTAAGTATTGCACCTGCTGGAGTGAGGCACCGTTGAAATCGGACGTTGTTAAGCGCAGCAATTTCATTAAACAACAATGTCCATTTTTTCTTGAGATCCGATGGTATATCTTCATCCCAACTAAGACCGTGCTACCAAAGCTCTTGCATACCGATCTTCGCTTTCACCAAAGTGGCTGCTCCGGCTCCGATGGGATAAAAAATGCCAGCTAGCTTGCTGAGGATGATACGTTTTGTCATTTTGGACGCTTTGTAGACGTAGGCGTTGCTTCTTTAGATAATTCATTGGGACACTCGATCTTTACTGCAAACGAAAACTGATCTTGCTTTGGATGCCAAACCGTTCCGAGAACCTTTTGCATATTGTTTTCTTCATTTGCTCCGAGTACTACTTCATCTCTGCTTTCTTTATCCGTCAATGGTGCGTTGGATATCTATTCTTTTATGTGAAAACCACCAGCATCGGGAATTTCGTCGATATTCGAAATCAGCTCTTTAGCGTCTGCCACAGAAGCTTGTGAATCACATACATGTAGGTGTTTTCTTTAATTGCTTCAGCTGCCTTTGGTTTGCTATCTTCTTTCAGTTCGGCTGTGTCGTGCATTGCTACTGTTGCCATAGCTGGGGCTGGACGATCTACAAAGGTCAAAACAGTTTTAACATGCACGTCTGTTTCTCGATCTGTTTCCATATTACGCCACAGAAACCGATGGACATGCTGATCTGAAAGTGGGATTGCAATCCTGTGATACATTTTGGATATGTCACCAACAAACGCTACTTCTTTTTCTCGAAATCGTAGCACTACTCCAAAGAGATTGTTAAGCAAGTCCGGTCCTTTGTACCAATACTCATTTACACTATGGCCATTGTATGAGGCAGAGCTGTTAAAGACAATTCTAACTGGAGTGCTTCTCTTTTCTGGGCGAACAACAGCGTGGTGAGCAACGTAATGGACGGGTCCTTTCCATTCTTCAATTTCATCCTTCGTCAATTTCCAAGCGAATTGCATCTTTTCCATTTCTTGCATCTGCTCATCATAACTCTTGGCAAGAGCAGGCTGTTTACTGAGTCGACTTTCAGTGGACTCCATCTTCTTCAATACTTGTGAATAATTAGCTGGTAACAGTTCGGGACTTTTCTTCCACGGGTAACTCATAGTCCATTTCTTCCCTTCCAAATTACACGACTCTTCAATCAGCTTTAATCCGTTTTGTTCTTCTGCTGTCATTTTTTTCGGCGGGCATTTGCATGAGGAAATTGATACTCCCATCAACTCGGTTGTCCAAAACTCAGTGAGATCAATTGGTGAGGCTAGACGGACATTCATGACTTGATTTGCTTTCGGCTGTGTCTGCTCGTTACCTGCTCCAAACGCTACCCAACCAAGAGGGCTCTTTCTGACTGCTAAACCGTCCTTGATTCGTATTTCACCGACATGAAAATGAGGATAGTTGATACCGATCAACAAATCTACAGGACCGGATTTTCTTTTCAATTGATTTACGGGAATTCCAAAGGTGTCTGAGGTTCTGTTCAAATTGACATGGGTCATATCATCAGAGATGTATGGTATTCCAACCGCTTGGATGACTTGAACTCTTTTACCAAAATGGGTGGACACTGGAACCTTGTATACCTTGGTGTCTAACTCTTCTTCGGTGCCTCCAACTTTAGTGTTAACTATCTTGGACTGTCTTCCTTCAAACCCAATTTCTTCGGCAAGGTCTTTACGTACCATTGATATTTGAGTACCACTATCGTAGAAAACATTTGCAGCTTTTGTTCCATTCTTTCCTTTCACTTGACCGAAAAACACTGGAAGCAAGGCGCTACTACCATCATGATAGATAAAACCGATGTGGGGAGGTTTTGGGGTCACATTTGCATCGACATGGAGGAGCTTGTGATGAGGCTTATTGCAGACACCACCTGATTGGAGTTTCTCTCCGCATTCTTTCTTTCGTGAGCAGTTCGCAACCGTGTGGCTTTTGCCTCTCTTCAAACAGGAAAAGCATGCTCGTTGTTCTTTCACTATTTTCCATCTTTCATTTGGCGTCATATCACGGAATCTTTGGCATTCATCTATATAGTGTCGACCTTGACATACATAACATTGCTTCGATTTAAATCGATCTTCTCCATACTTTGCATCATCATTTTCATTCTTGGAGCCAAATGTGTTGACCCTGTGTTGTCGGACATTCTTGCGAATTTGGGCCACAGAGCGCATTCGGGCAGTCATTTCTGTTTCCATCCAAGACAGAAGGTTATCCATTGATGGTTTACACTTTTCGGAATTAAGATAGCGCGCCCACACCCTCAGGTCGTATTCGCTCATTTTTCTTTCTATCAGGGAGATCACATGCGTATTATCCATGTCCTGGGGGTGCTTTAGAGGCAGTCCGTGTAAAAACCGACCACTCGAATTTCTTAAGATTACAGATTTCCTTCGAACTTTCTGTGTGGAAGAAGCCATTCATAAAATGAACAAAAAACGTTGACTTTAAAATTGTAGTCAGTTTTAAAATTTTTTTCGCAATTATTTTCGGACGCGTTCGAAAACAAGTTAAAACGTTAATTACGCAAGTGATATTTGAGCTTTTTATATCTCACAGTTCATCTCGCGCTTTTATTCTAACTTCTTGAAACTTATATATTATTATTTCCTGCCTAGGCATAAACCTAAACTAAAAATTATCCTGATCACTTGAAGCAAACAAAATATTGTGTGTTTTTTATATAAATGAACCAAGACTGCATGTCGTAATCTCTCTGAAAAGGCGAAGCAGCAACTAAAGGATGTATATATAGAGGCATCTAACGGCAAGTGATTTAAAGATCGCACGGTGGGGAATTAGAGACCTTGCGATTTTAGAACGGCAACGCGACGACGACGGCCAAAACAAACTCCTTCAAATAAATGGTAGTATTAAAGGCCACTATTTGTTGTATTACAGTGTATATTAGTTTCTCATCCGGAGCTTCTCCTAAAGTTGATGCGGGCGGGCGGGCCGTTACCATTATGCCATTATTTGTTGGATTTCCCCTCCCCATAAATTTATTTTGGAAAAGTGCGCGTTAAGCATTAATATAGTTGCAACTTTCTGAAAAACAGCACAAAATCAGTAAGTGCAACTGAAAGCATGTTTTCATAATTTTGTACCCAGAACGTCTGTCGTTTTTCTCCCCTGCCCCTGGCTTCCGGTAGAACTTTTATAGCTGAGTTTCGATATTTTATAAGTGTGTACGTAATGCGGGAAAAACTTGCAGTTTGGTTATGAAATTTTGTATTTTAACTATAACATTTGGTTTGGGAACGTTTCTAATTGTCTTTCTTTCAAATTTAATTCACTTTGAAGACATCACAAAATTTATAATAATGGTCAAAAATGGCAATAATAATGGCGAACAAGGCCATTTTCTTAAAAAGCATGCGGGCGGGGATGAGAAACTAATATACAATAGTGGCCTAAAGACAATTCGTGGTATATTAGCAATCGTATGAATTTAATACAATCGTATGAATTTAATGGGTTTTATGTTTGGGAAGAGTTCTGCTGAAGCCAATTTGAAGTTGCACTTGTTGCGGCTTGAAATGCAGCCGTTGTATCAAGACGTGAAAATCTGTGATTTGGCGTTGTAAACAAAGCGAGGACAATGTCTAAATTATTCATATATTGCAATTATTGAATTCTTTTTAATTATTTATTGTATTTGTAGCCGTTGCTGTCCTAAATCGTAAGGTGTTATTTAAAATCGGGGAACCATGCAAGGTAAGCATGGTTAAGAAATTTTCGAGTATGCAGACGTATGCATGCACATGCATGGTTTACGCTACTCATACGTTTCTCTCATACGCAATAGTGTGACAGGACCTTAACCGACATCAGCATGTAATTGCAGTTCTTAAAAAACATGAAAATATTAAACATGTATAAAATATTTGTTTCATATTATAGTGGCAAAATAAATCTGCACTATATCTATTGATGAGAAAAAAGTGCTCCTTCAAGGCATTCGTATAAATTGGCACACATATATCCTTTCCCGCACTTTTCTTATACATTTTTGTTTATATATACCATGCATGTAGTATTTAATGATACCCATAGACGTAAAATTTCAAGCATATATAATTGCTGGCATATTTATAACTTACTCTCTATCCAAAAAAGAGCCATGTTTGAAACAGTAAACAGTTTTGTATGTTTTTAACGCGAAAAATTTAAGTGAATGCATTAACAAATTATTGCTTATAATTAGTCGAATTAGCGAAAATTGACTATATTAATGACGCGCTTGTCAAGCGAAAAACACACTGCCCAAAGATTTTATTATTTATTCTAGTAGATGTGTCATGGTACTCAGTAGCTACAATAGATTGGATACCTGATACCGTTGCACTTTTGAGAAAAAATAATTTACCGCCAGCATACTAACACGAATATTTAATCAGCTGTCCGAAAGACGTTTTTTAAAAATACACAATATTTTGTTTGCTTCAAGTGATCAGGATAATTTTTAGTTTAGGTTTATGCCTAGGCAGGAAATAATAAAATATGTAAGTTTCAAGAAGTTAGAATAAAAGCGCAAGATGAACTGTGAGATATAAAAAAGCTCAAATATCACTTGCGTAATTAACGTTTTAACTTGTTTTCGAACGCGTCCGAAAATAATTGCGAAAAATTTTTTAAAACTGACTACAATTTCAAAGTCAACGTTTTTTGTTCATTTTATGAATGACTTCTTCCACACAAAAAGTTTGAAGGAAATCTGTAATCTTAAGAAATTCGAGTGGTCGGTTTTTACACGGACAGCCTCTTAATTTCTTTCAAGATGTTGTAAGACCGTCTCACTAAATTTACTAATTGGCAGAATCGATGATCTTCTCCAGGTTGAATCTTTCTAGATCTAAGGTAATGGTGTCTGATACAATTCTGGGGTCACCATAGTTTTGGTCTAGGTACTTCCATGCAGCATTTAAATCAGAGCTTATTCCTTCGATTAATTTTGGCAGGCTCAGAACTTAAACATGAACGTAGCACTGTCAATGTATCTCTTTCGGAATATTGTGCTTCGACAGCGTGTTTAAAATCTGACTTAAATATGAAATATTGCCGAACATCACAGTAAACGCAGGTAATTTGGCTTTTTCATGCTTAACAGTAAAGAGCTTGGCTGAACTCGGACTGTGTTGTATCATTTCAGGGTTTTGCATCGTGCTTGGGTGATTGTTCTCATTATAAACAGTAGACTGTTCGATCAGATTGTTACTTCCTTGACTATCATTACTTTCCTCATTGTTCTCTTCACTCGATTCACCAACGACACTGTCACTAACATTCTGTTTATTTTTATCCTCATCTATTTTCTTAATATAATCATGATAACGCATAGTAAAGGCTACGTACTCACTGGTGCAGACTTGCATCCACTTTTCAGCTTCTTCAAACTCTTCGTCATCTAATAACATAGTAAATTCTTCATGTTTCATCACTAATCCTTCATGAGCCCTTCGTAACTCTTCAAAGGCTTGCTTTACTTCACTTTTCGAAAGACTTGCTTCAATCAGTTCATTTGTAACATTCATTGCTCTCGTCAGAGAACCTTTTGCACCACGACGTGCATTCTTAGCTTTATTCTTAATCTCTTTATCCATTTTACTTCAAAGACAAAGTTCAGTACATAGCACCATCAGCAATGGCGCAGGCGAAAGTAGACAAACAGCAACAATGGTTTGGTTTTCTTATTATTAAATTATACAAACACGAAATTTGCATAAAATATGTATATATAATCTGAAGCTATAAGATAAAGAATAGAAAGAAAATTACGACTATGTTACAAATATAATGCATTATTTTACGTTACAAATACACGTCTTTGCACTTACATTTGTCCCAACCAGTGATAAACTTTAAAACCATAAATCCAACTTGACTTTTCCCGGTTCAAAACATTAATTTTTAGCGTTTTTTAGACTACTTTTATACGTACTTTTAACGTTCAACATGGCTTCCTTTTCGCGCGCTTTTTCTCAGTTCATCGCGGGCGGCAATAAATATTCTACGTACGTCATGTCATTTTAGTGAAATAAACGTAACAGGCATTATCGATAATGCAAATAACTTTGCTTTCTTTATTATTTAAAAAATTCAATATAATAATAAAAGTAGAATCAAGATTAAAGATACACTTAAATTATATGCTGTCTTGTTTTAATACAAAGGTTTTTAAGACATTATAAAATCAATATTTAAAACAAACTTACCTTCATCGACTCCCTTCTTTTAGCCGATTCTTTCGCCCTATCTTTCTCAGAAGGCTTTTGAAATTTACAAAATCTGAAAATGCGAGCAAAAATGCGAGCAAAAATGAAATATATTTGCAAGAAATTTTCGGGTCTTAAAGCAATTATACAACAAATATTTAAAACAAACTTACCTTCGTTAACGTCGGCTCCCTTCTTTTAGCCGATTCTTTCGCAACCTCGTTCCCAGGCTCTTTGCTCTTGGGAAGCAAAGACCCTGGTCGGGGCTTATGACGTCACACCCAGAATCTGGGAGTAAACGTATAATTTGACTATGGGTCGGGAGGTAGGGGAGCGTGTTTGTTGCGTTTGGAAAATTGCAACTTTATGTGTTATAATTTCGGGTGATAAAAATGTCATTTGCAACAAGAGATTGTGAAAGGAACGTTCTAGATTCGTACCGATCATGACAAAGACTTCCTGCTGTGCTGAATGTCATCAACAATAAGTGTTGCGTTTATACATTTCAAGCGAGAAGCTGGATCATATTTCACTTGCAAGGAAAACACTCCACACGCGCCTGGCTTGCGAAGTTTAGCACGTATCGCCGTAGAAACATACATATCTTCTACACAGACTGATCGATCAAACGGTATTAAACGAACGATATGGTTCTTTATAGTTGAAGTGTATCCTGTCCGATATTCAAAACAAAAGATTTATTTTATAACGGGATCCTTTGATTTCCCAAACATCGCCAACATGTGTAAACAATAGTGCTATTTTGACTGTAAAAGCACAGGATGAAAACCCGTTATGGACTGGCTATAAAATTCATTTCATTTACATTGCTGAAACTCAACGATCAAGAAAGATAATGTCGAAGTGTAGTTAGCTATCTGTTAATATCACACAAACGCCAAGACTCCTCCATGCGTTTCCGTGCGTGCGGTACAACTTGAATACCTACGACGATATGTGCACCAGACATTGGTATTGTACTTTATATAAATTATTTCATATTTTGTGTATACAGTAATTTGCAACATGTATAATATTAGACCTTTCATTGATTGGCATTGTCCATTGAGGGCTTTATTGAAGAATAATCCAGCTTCTTGAGACTTGTATAATGGATTAATGCCGCTGTGAGTTATCAATATTTAAATCAACTTTAATCTTTATCGGCGTATTCCGTAACCAATATTTTAGAAGTTTAGTCTGTTTTACCAAACAATACTGGAGGCAAACAACCTATCTATCCATGGAAACTTTAAAAGGTTTGTTACAGTAAAACTCATTAATAAGCGAGACTTCGTGTGCATATACAGTTTATGAATTATGTATATCCTGATAAAACGTAGGACACTTTATACCAGATGTAATAAAAAATACTTTGCTAAACCTTTTCTGCTGTCATTCCTTTGCATTTAAGGGGGGAGGGTAAATGGCGATAGAATTTATAGGATATGCTGTGCAATATTTTGGCTTCAACAAACAGGTACTCGTGCAGATCGACAAAAAAGGAAATTCATGCAGTTGTGAATTGTCGTATGTCAGCTGTGCACTGACACCCACTGTCGATTTCAAACAATTTTGTACGTTATATTTTGTCTTCCTGGTGTTTAACATAAACGATGATAACCTTTTTAAAAAAGCTAGAGCAATATGTCTATAAACAGTTTTAGAATCAATAAAATGGACATTCAATGTGTATTTGGCTTGTGTCCAAATGTGTCACGTTTAAGACCGGCAAGGCGCTAATCCTACGACCTATAAACAGTCGCTTTTGAGACATCTGTTTAAAACATTTAAACCGTGTCCATATCAGAACAATTCATTGGCATATTATAAGCATATTATAAATATCAGAGCCAGAACAGAAACGTACGCGTGAAATGAAACTACGCCCGAACCGGCGAAGTCCGAGAAAATAAAAATATTTCAAAGCGTACAGCCATACGTTCTCGTTGCTTGATTTCCTGAATTTTCTGTTGCTATAAGAATCTACATTTTAGCATGTTTGTATAATTTCAAAGCAAACAGAAACCAATTCAGCAAGTAGTTTGAGGTATATATGATTCTTGAAGATGAATTAGATGATTGTACAGAACGGCCACTCCTTGCAATCGAAGTGCGGAAGTGGAAACATGTAATATGAGACTTTTCCATCCCCCCTCTTCGGCTATCAATTTTGTATGTGTGACGTCATCAGCCCCGACCAGGGTCTTTGCTTCCCAAGAGCAAAGAGCCTGGGAACGAGGTTGATTCTTTCGCCCTTTCTTTCTTGAAATTTACAAAATCTTGCAAAAATGCGAGCAAAAATGAAATATATTTGCAAGAAATTTATCAATCATCAAATCAAGAAATGTTTGCTATTTCGCTGTCGTCATGCAGTCGTTATAATGCAAACTTTAAATTGGACCAATCACAGTGTTCGCTATTCATGACAGTCGGCCATATTTTGAGATCAGTGAGGATGACCATCCACGCACAGTGAGCAACGCCCGCGATCATTGGTGAACTTTAGACTTCGCTAATGCTTTCGTTTCCCCCGGCGTAAATAGCCGGGGGGAATTAATACGAGTCACGGCGGGAATTAATACGAGTTAGGGCGCTTCGCGCCGTTGGCTCGGGAATGAGTATGTAAAGCAAAAGGATGGTTGAGTATTTGCATGTATTTAAAACCAAAATCTGAATTTTTTGGCCGTAAAAATGGCCACAACGATAGTCGAGCGTGCAAAGCACGATGATTAGCACACATTTTCTTAATATATCGTCACAAGAAATCTTGTTGTTTTTTTCTGTAATGTTGCCAATATTATGCGATTAATTTAGGAGAAATTCATCTAACATGAAGTTGCGATTTAGAGCGATTTAAGGCAATTTAATATATATTTGTCCAATTTGAAATAGCGATTTAAGGTCCAAGAGCAGTCCTAATCAATGTAATCCACCTTTCTATCATGCACACTGAAGCCAAGAGAGCAGTTTATAACCCGTTCAGAGGGTCCAAACAATGTTGGCCAACATCATGCAACAATGTTCAAATATTTTCTTAATTTTCTCAACTGCCTGTTTTTAAATCCGTTTTATAAGATTAATCGAAATTAAATATTTCAAAATATTTCCCCAAAAAATTAGGTGGATCTATAATGTCATTTGAATGTTGTCACAATAATAGTTGACCCATTTAATAATCCCTTTAAACGTTATCAAATTAAACACGACTGGACCAACATATGTGGCACCCAATGAAGAAAAATGATAAAAATCACTTCAATTGCAATTTGAAGAAAATGTCATCGTCGGGAAACGCTGTGCTAATCTCACTCAAGAATTACTGTTCTTGAAGATGGGCGACTAGACAATTAATGGAGATCTCAAGCAACAGAAAGTAACTTGAGTTTCATGACCTGGGTGGTTTATTTGGACTTGGAAAACGTTTTGCTCTAAATGTCGTTCTTGTTTTAAATCTTGTTGTTCGTAGAAGTGCACGTTCTGAGTTATTGCATAAACGTAATTATGTGTAATACCGTAAATATGTATAACTAGCTATGAATTTTGTTAATTTTATAACCGTTTGTAGCATAGTATAGCATAGTATAGCGTAGTATTTTCATGTATCGCAGGACTTAATTAGGGACTTTATTAGTCCTGCTATCTGTGCCTTTAATTTCTTATTGTAAAACTAATAAAATTTTTTTTAAAAACCCCAAAAAACAAGGTGTATAAAAAAATAATCCAACTTTGTGTGCTCTTGTACGCTCAATATAGTAGTGCACAGAATTAAATTTTTCACAGTAACTGCAAATATATTTCATATTTGCAAGGTTTTGTAAATTTCAAAAGCTTTTTGAGAAAAACGAGGCGAAAGAAGTTTTAGAGTATAGGGAGTAAAGGCGCCGACGTTACCGAAGGTAAGTTTGTTTGCTTTATTATAAAGCTGATCGTTTCCTATATATTATAAATGAAAAAAGACGGCCATATCAAAAAAATTTAAATAAAAAGAGGGCAAAGTTATTTGTCTGAATGTGAGAGTTTGAAATCATTTTATTTTATTTTAAACTCAAAATTTTTATATAAGCCGCAGTTTAGTTTTATTAAAAACATATTAGAAATTGTCCTAAAGCTTTTGTGTTTAATGAATTTAACTTAAATAGCCCTTTTCCCTTATAACTAAAATTTTGATCTAGACAAGTCTAAAGAAACATTTTATCGCAGCTTGAAAGGGCATCACAAAATTAGCAATATTCCGAAGTTTTGTTGCGAAATGTTGTAAAATACGGATAATATAGCCCTGCGAAATTTGCAATTGTCAGTCATTTTGTATTACAAACGGGAAATTGATGCCCCAACACCCCCGATTGGGCTGTCAATTTCCCATGCGTAATACAAAATGACTGAAA